TAAATGGATGGAGTTAGAGAAGATAATGCTAACTGAAGTTAGCCAATCCCAAATAACCAAATGCTGAATGTTTTCTTTGATGTAAGGAGGCTGATTCATAGTGGGATAAGGAGTAGGAACATGGAAGGAATAGATGAACTCTAGATAGGGCAAAGGGGTTGGAGGGGAAGGGAGGGAGCATGAGGTAACTAATGATGCTGGACTGTGATGATCATTATTATTCAAAGCACAGGTATGAAGACACGAATTGGTGTAAATATATGTATACAATGAAGATATGAAAAATCGTGCTCTATATGTGTAATAAGAATTGTAATGCATTCTACTGTCATATACAAGACATTAACTATAGCTACTACTAGAATAGTATAGTAAAACAGTATACTATAGTAATTATTTAAAACTTAGGAATTTGTTTCTAGAATTTTCTACTTTTTTTGGAGCTCACTATGGGTAGCTACACAGTGGACAGTAAAAGATGGATAAGGGAGGATTGCTGTGATTTGCATGTCTGGCATTCAATGTTGTGGGATCAAATGTGAATAAAACAGACTACTCCTGGTACTTCAGGGAAACATTGTATACGGAGGAGGCCACTATGGAAAAAATATCAGTGCATGATACCAAGGCAGTGGATCCTTGGTCTGTTGCTTTTTAACCATCCCAGGGGAAGGGATGGTTAAAAAGCAACAGACCAAGTGTTTTTTCAGAGGAAACTGCTTGTAAAAAGTTTGAGAGGGGACAAGACTCGTGGAGAACGGCAAGCAGTTACCTTGCGTTGGAACATGGAGAGCCAAAAGGACAGGGGAATGGAGGTGGCCATGGTAGGAGACACAGCTGCATAGTTAGCAGAGACCAGGTTGTGAAGACCTTTGTAAACCAGGTCTGGTTGTTGGTGGAGGGTGTTCAGTGAGTACTGTTTATATCTATGTTTCGCAATGTTTGAAGCTTATCCCCTCAGAATAATTCAATTAACTTGCCAGCATTTATGGAGGACCTGCCCTGTGCTAACCTTTTATTTAGAATACACTTAAAAAGTGAGACAATCTTATCAGACTGCAATGCTCTTAAGTCTGAGGTTATTTCCCTGTACAGAACTGAAGGAGAAATGGGCTGCATGTTAGGATGGAGATGGCCTGAGTGTGCAGTGTTGGTGACACTTTGAGCTACCTGCATGTTCTGAATTTCAAGGCACTGCTTGGCATCAACCTCCATCTAAGCCCTGCACCTCCTTTACATGACTTGTGAGACCCAAAAGCTTTGATGCACTCTCCTACTCCAACCTCTGCTGGATCTCCTAGTTGCCACTTTTCGATTATAGTTTTGACCTTTCTGAGACCAGGGCTTTCCACAAGTCTAAGCATCTTGCTTTGATCCCTGACCTCCCACCTCTTTTGTCAGATAATCCCAGCTAAGCTGCCACCTGTGCCTTATGCGTGATGGGTACCTATGGAAAGGGTCATGACGCCCAGTTTGTCTCGCACCAACTTGACGATCATACTCTTCTGAAGCGGGGTGCAGCGGCAACACAGGACAGACCGGCAATACTGGGTCAGCTCCAGAAACAACTTCTCCAGCTTTCCCTGGAAAATGACATTCAGCGTCTTCCCATTGATGACCAGTCCAACTTCCGGAGCCATACCTCTGGTGGTGGGGGATGGTGTCTTAGAAGGGAGGCGGAAGCCAAAGAGCTTGCAGCCTGGCTTCTGTGGCTCCTGGAACTGCTTGACCTCTTCCAGTGCACAATTGAGGATGGATTCGCAGGTCTCCTATACACAGTGACAGGATATGGTTATAACATAGAGAGCAACCTTGCAAATGTATGTTAAAATTTTCATTTTCATAATAACAATTTTACTACCATAGGTATGACTCGGGAGTTGTTCTCCAATGTTTACCTTTTCTGCAATATTTTAAATAGCACCAAAGCAATATTAACTTGAAATCAAATAACGGCCAAAATAGACACTGCTTGAGAAGTGGAAATAACTCAGCAAGATGAAGACTGATCCAAGGTTGGTTTAAGACAAATAATGCTAATACGATGGTAAATGATGACAATATTTCATGCAGTTATGGCACTATTTTTTTTTTTTTTACAGGTCATTTCAGTGCTCTTTGCTTCTTAGAGCATCCTTATRGGTACAACATTTAGAGATGAGATTGGAACAGTGAGCTCTCAAGTGACTCACCCAAGGTCATCCAAACACAGTAGAGGCGGCAGGGCCATTACTACCCAAACTGTGGCTTCCTAATTAAAAAGAACGCATCAGCTGGCACGGTGGCGCATGCCTGCAATCCTAACTGGGGGGGGAGGCTGAGGCAGGAGGATCACAAGTTCAAAGCCAGCCTCAGCAAAAGTGAGGTGATAAGCAACTTAGTGAGACCCTGTCTCTAAATAAAATACAAAATGAGGGTGTGGCTCAGTGGTCGAGTGCCCCTGAGTGCAATGCCTGGTACCAAAAAAATGAAACAAAAACCCCACATCTACCCTGGATTTGTTTTTAATCTATTGGTCTACTCCATAAAAGGTCATAAGAACTGTTGCATGAAATGTTGCTCACTTTGATTTGGACAAAACATCCCTGTGAAAGTCTTATGGTTTGGAGGAATCCCCTTGATATTTACTTTGAAATATAGTGAGGAAGTCATTTATTCATAAGTGTTTTCCATTACTTTTGACTATATCAAAGATAAAATCAGATTTTGGTTCTCATTATATTCTTAATATCTCTGTAATGTCTGAACAGGCTGTGGAAGACAGTAGTATTAATTTTAGCAGCATTGCTTTATTCATATGGTAATTACTTTACAGTGTTCTTTTATACAGGGCAAAGAATAATACTTTTTTCATTTATTGAAGTGCTAAAATTTTATTCTAGCTGGGTTGCAGGGCCACACGGCTGTAATCCCAGCAACTCGGGAAGCCGAGGCAGGAAGATTGCAAGTTTGAGGCCTGTCTCCAAATGAAATGTTAAAATAAGGGGGGCTGGGATGTASCTCAGTGGTAGAGTGTCCTTGGGTTTAATYCCCAGTGTTCCCCCCAACTCCCACAAAGTAATTATTCTAAAAATAAATATTCAAATGTGTTGATTTAAACGAAATAATTAGAAACAATTCAGATCATATGCAGATATCAGCAAAACTTGTGAAGTTAGTTCTGAAGTGACAGGTCTGTGGGATATTGTTAAGAGTTCTATCTGGGAATGTCTAGAATACATTGTAGAGCAAATGCGGCTGTAGCTGGTTGTTCCCAAGTTTTTCTTTAGGGGATAGTAAATGTTGTGGTATTCACAGAGCCCAAAGAAGCCACATGAAGTGGTTCCAGGAGCAAGTGGTTGTATTAGAGGCACTTATTTAGGAAAGAACACAAGGTGGTCCTTTCTGGAAGTGGAGTTGGTATTGATTATATAAATTCCTTCAATATATGTCTTCAGAAAGGCATTAGAAATGTCAGTCTCAAAAATCAAATTTCTTGACTTGCTTATTTCCAAGGTATTAATTACAATAGTGACTATTCACTGTCAAGTTTTGATGCCCATTTACCGGTCCTCATGCCCTCGCATAATCTCTCTCCACTGAGTGTGAATCAGATCTACCTATTCCTTTCTAATGAAGAAGAATTCCACAAAAAACGAAGAGGTGTTATTCTTTCTCATTCTATAAGAAAGATTTGCCTTGGAAAAAACCAGTTGCTGTGTTGTGTAGCAGCTCTGTGGAGAGGCCCAAAAGGCTAGGAACTGAGGCCTGCTAACAATCACGAGTGGACTTGGAAGAAGCACTCTTCTTACTCCCAAACTACCTATCCAGCTGAGCCTCTAGATGAGTCCAGAGCCCTGTTGGCTTGACTACAACCTCAATAGAGACCTTGAACCACAGGCACCCTGTGAGGATGATGCTTCTGGAAGTCTAACCCACAGGCTCCTAAATCCCTGTTTCAGTTGCTAAACTGTGGAGTAATTTGTTATACAGCAATTGGTAACTAGTATTGGTTACTATAAGTGAGTGCTTTTCTGTGGTAATATTTAATCCTTCCAGTAGCCTCTTAAGTAAATATTTTAAACCCTTTTACACAGATTAGGAGAGTGAAGTTCAAGAAGTAGCGTATTTAGACTGTTAATCTGCACTACAGGTTGTTAATAACAGCAGTTGTTGCTATTAGTCCCTTTAAAAATTTCTTGACAAATTAACATTTCTGGGGATGACTTAGTATTTCCCTCATTTTATGGTTGAGAACCCTGAGGTCTAGATAGGTCTCAGAATTTGCTTATTGCTTTAAGGTACGTAGGAAAGATACAGTATCCCTAAATCAATTTATAATGAATCAGGCAAATTAAAACCCTTGGAGAAAATATCCACTGAATAAGTCATTACATTAAATGGGGGTTTAAATAAATCTAAGATTTAGAATGTATTTTTCCAGTTTCTGGCTTGACATATTTACGTACCTACTGCTTAATCCCAGGCAAGGTGAAAAAGACTAATATTGCAGGTTTAGTGGCGCAGGGATAAGGATTCAGGCATCATGTTGAGAGTCCTGGACAGTGGTAAAAGGACTGACAGTATGGAATTAAAGATTCCCATGACTGAACTGACTACTTGGAGTGTGGCCCATTGTTTCTTGGGAACCTGGGCCCCCAATGCAAAAAGAATGCATTGCATTTAAGAGAATCCCACCCCTCCCCATTCATGCTGGCCACCTCACAGATTTGCATGTGTCTTACTTTCAGAATTCAAGGGKGTGTGTGGGGGAATGGCAGACAATTTCCTATTGCAAGCAGGACTGGCAAGAATCAATACTATTACAGAGATCAAGCACTTAAACAAGCTGAAAATTACCTTTTTTTCCCTAAACATAATACTAAAGCTATGGTTTTACATGAGAGTATTTTCATCTTCAAAATTCATTGGTGTTTAATCAAGCATAATTTGGGCATCTGACAGAAAATAATTAAAAATAATCTAAAGGTTCTCAGGCATTCTTCACAGTATACTGTGTGTGTATGCRTTTTCAAATACTTGTGCATGGAATAAAAGCCAAATATCAAACTTCCCAAATTTTCATTCTAGGTCTAGAGTGCACTTAGGCAAGCTGAAGGAGAGAGGCCAGTGTCCTCATTTTCCCATTTCCTGGCTTCTTTAATTCCTGGCCTTCCTCCTCCATCCTTTTCCCCATAGGATGCCCACCTGCCTAATCCAATCCCTGCCCCCTTAGACAGGTGTGAACATCTCCATGCTCACCTCTCAACCTTCTTGCCAAGAAGATGCATTGTGAAAATAATTTGCATTGTGAAAATAGATTTTGCCTCCTAAATACAAAATTGTATAAGAGCATGGAATGTTGTTCTTCCCATTTCACACAGCACTTTCCTGAACCTCGCTTCCTGCCACCCACAACCTATATACCCTACTTTGGTTGAAAATTGCCTTTTAGGACTTGKCTTCTTTCTCCTCCTTCACCATCAAAACACACTGGATTTGCATTATTATTCCTTTGGGGTTTCCACTCCACGACATAAAAATTGGCGCTGAAGCCTTAAACTTGGAACAGTTTCAATTTAATTGTGACTGTTCTGACGTGTGAATTAATGTTGTAAGAAACTTAAAAATGTGATTCTTGAGTAAATAGTGTTTTAGAGTGTAAATAGCATTAGCCCAGCAGGAGAAAGGAGTTCTGGCCTTAGTTTTAACAGAAACTAGCAAGTGACTGAGMCTTTGGGATTGTCTTTAGTTTCTTTGTCTGTAAAATGGGGAAATTGGACCAGGAATGGAATTTGGGAGAGATACAACTAATTTTTTTTTTGGTGCCAGGGATTGAACTCGGGGGTACTCGCCCACTGAGCCACATCCCCAGCCCTATTTTGTATTTTATTTAGAAACAGGGTCTCCCTGAGTTGCTTAGCACCTTGCTTTTGATGAGGCTGGCTTTGAGGAGAGGTACAAGCTTGTAATATTGGAGGTAACACAAAAGGTCAGACAACATGTGGGGGCATATTAAGCTGTGTGATCCAGCCATATTTTGGGATCAGATATGCCTTCCCTGTGTGCCCAAATCTTACCTATGAGTCTTTCTCCTGTTGACTGGGGTGAAGTTCTATATTTATGTGTGATTTCCTACTTTGGGCTTACCTGATTCTCAGTATTAATGGAGTAAACGGTGTCTGTCTGATCTAACAGTCTGCAGGAATACGCAATATTGACCGCTGTCTCTTGCTTATCTCCTGTCAAGACCCAGAGCTTGATTCCAGCCTCCCGCAGAGCAGCAATTGTGTCTGGAACTCCTTCCTGCAGCCGGTCTTCGATCCCAGTGGCTCCTGGAGTGATCAAAGACACCATAGGTCACATTTATGGTGAAATAGTGGCTTAAGTTCCCCAAAGCCCTATGAAGCAAGGCAATGTTTATTAAATGTTATTAATATGTGCTAGGTCAGGCACCCAGGGTAAACAATGAACTGGGTAGAGCTGGTTCCTACCCTCTCAGAAATCAAAGGTCAATGAAGAAGGATTTATAACTGAGCTAGGTGATGAGAAAAAGCCAATGTGCCCTGTACGTATACATGAGGGACCTGGACTTCACCTAGGAGGTCAGGAAAGGCCTTGCTGGGGACATATCGAAGATGAAGTGAGAGGTATAGCCAGGGAGGAAGAGGAGAGCTGTAGGCAGAGTCCGTCAGCCTTCCTCCYTGAGGGGTTTGCAATTTATTTGGTGGCAACGAGAGTTATTAAAGGGTGTTAACTTGGAGAGGGACAGGATCAGTTTGTGTTTTAAAATCATTCTAGAGAATGGATTAGGGGTTGGAGGAAGCAAGATGAAATTCAGGGCTAGCAGTTACTTAGGCGGTTGAGCTGAGTGCAGGAGAGAGGTTTTGGTGATCCAAACTGTCACAAAGAATAGGGAGAAGTAGAGACACTGAACTCTTTGTAACTGATCATGCTGGAATTAACAGAGACATTTTTTATAACATACAGGCARATTTCACAGTTTTTGAAGGATCTCAAGCTTTGCATCAATCCAGATGAATATATATCCAAATATTGAATAGTTGCTAAGTGATGAAGCAAAAATAAATCTGCATTTAAATTGAGATTCATTTCAGGCCACAGACTAATGGCTACCCATCTCACTCTGGGCAGAAGCAAGGCATTTTGTTTCTTTTAATAATCCAGAGTGATAATAGGCTGGCAAAGCAGTTACATTGGATGCATATTGAAGAGATCATTTCATATTAGGGGACCCAGTATGCAGACAAGGCAGCTTCTTAGTGGCATGCCAGTTTCTTGGTGGCAAGAAGAAATCCCTCCTCAGCCCAGTCCTCCACTTTCCAAGCTATCTTGAGGGGAGAAAAGGAACCTCTCTGTCCCAAAATGTGCCTGTTTTGTGTTTCAGGTTGAAAAGTGACAGCATGAGCCTCATCTTTCCCTCCCAGGGTGAGACTGCAGGTGAGCTTCTGAAGATGACTTATATGACGGAGAGGAAGAAAAACACAAAAGGGAAAATGAAATGGGAAGGTCGGGAAGTCTTTCCCTGCTAGGGGAGGCCAGTGGGTTCTGACAAGCTGTCATTTGGCAGACCAARCTGACAGACGCTTCTCGCCACCTGGGGCCATAGTGCTACCCAGAAACCAGAGAGGCCTCTTGGAGGGGCAACTTCAGTCGCCTTTTATAGTTGATAAGTTTCTGGCTACTACTAAGTGACTCTGGTTCGGCTTAAAAGAACCTTAAAAGGCAGCAAGCAAAGGCTTCTGTGGCCAAGATACAGGAAACTAAAGACCCAAAGAGGTAGGCAACAGTTCTCTCCCCTTGCTTGCTGGCTGTTCAGGTAAATCTTGTTGCTACCTTTTATATGAAAAGGTACATATTCTTAGAGCCCAAGGAAAAAAACCAAAGTGGCTATGCTTGGCTGGGTACTCAAGAGATATTTGTCTAGAGAAGCTAAGGTGCAGGGATGTGTCACTGGGCATACAGCAAGGTCATGACAGGGCTTGAACTTGGCCCTTATCCTCTGGTCACCATTACTTCCCTGTCAGTGTATGCTGTCAGACATTGCCTTGGCAAGACCTTGTTCCCAAGGTCTGATTAACAAAGCCGCCTCTTTTGCAATGCTTTTCTTACAGTAGGAATGCAACCTATCTTTTAATTAGTCTTGGTGCTTCTTATCTCCCCCSAGTATATCAATCTACCTTCCATATATCAGTAGTCAGGGCAATTTTTGTAATCTAAGCCTTTCCCTCTCCAAACACTTAGCATCTGATTCATCTAATCCRTCACAGCATGGAACCCACAGCTCTCTTTTACCTCTCATCAATTCTTCTCCCGCATTTTGGTCCAGCCACAGAGAATCTCATATCTGGGCCTTCATTTGGGTCCTTTCAGTTAATGGTCTTCCTAGGCCCTCCTTGGCCCAGGGGTCAGGTTAGTACCTCCTACCTGTACTTCTATCTCATCTGGTCCCTCTTCCAGCCCAGCTGTTATCATTTGTTAAGAGTGAGGAAGTTTCTTGCCTAAGGATTCAGTATCAGGATAGACTCTGAGTTGTGGAAGGGCAGAGTTGTGGCTCTTGCTTTCTGTGGTAGCCCCAAAGCCTAGCATGTTACCYGACCCAGAGTTAGGGCCCAACCTTTGAATGGACAGAAAAATGTGCTCTTTTAGAAAGAGACAAACTCAYAGGCTTCTTCCAGCAGAGTGTGTAGGGATACTCCCAGGCCTCCTCAGGAACCTTGGGTTGGGTAATGACATGGCCCATTTATGCCAAATCCCTGGAAGGGTACCCAGGGAAGGCTGCTAATTGAGACAACTCCATAGTGGCATCAGAATCAGGGCCAAGAACTCTCTTCCAACTTAGGGAATTTCTTTTTTTTTGTATAATGATAACTTATTTTTAGCTACCCAGTAAGGTGAGTTGATTCTCCAGACGCTGTGCTGTCTCCATTAGAAGCTCATCTCTGTTGTCAAGGGATGCCTCGGCCTCACGCCGGAAACTGGCCCATCTCCTGAAGTCTTCTTCACTCACTACCTTCAGGATAGAAAGAGGTTTGTTAATAACTGTGGGTGGGTCAGCAAGTAGAATCCCTCCTCTCACATCTGCAAGGCCTGTTTGAGCTGCATGACATCATCAGATGGGGCGCTCTCTTCAGTCAATGAAAGATTGATCTGTATGTTCTTATACCACCAAACATCTTTGGAGTCCCCAGCCTGCTCAAGGCACTGGAGATGAGCAGGCAGACAAGGTCCTAGAACTGGGCTAATGTGCTGACGGAAGATAAGACACATTATATAGGTAAATTAAAAGATCACTTTCAGGAGTACTGTGCAGACAGTGAAAAGGATGATATCATGGAGTGTGATGGGGTAAGAGGAAAACTGGGATAGAGGGCTGTTCAGGTCTATTCTACAAGTGGCAGGCAAGCTAAGATCCAATGATGAGAAAGGGTCAGCCCTGGGAAATTGCAAAGCCTGGGTAATAGGAACGAACTTGGCCTTGAGTATATCTGTTGGTGGAAGGATGAAAAGTAAAGTTTCAAGGGACCAAAAACAAGGCTGGAGAGAAGAGGACAGCCTTATTTTACACAGTCTAGGGACCACTCTGCTAGGCCTGCTGTCCTACACACAGGTGCATTTCTTCCCTCAGAGTCCATTAGCACTTGTAGACCCTACTTTTTATGTGATATGCATTCTCTTATATAGATTAAGGATTCTTTTGCCCATGCACCAAATATTCCCAGTCCCTGTGTGGAACATTATAGCACAAACCCACAAGACCCAGGTAGGCCTTTTGATTTTGAGGAATGCACAGTCTATCAGTGGGAACAAAATATGCACAAATAACTTTAGAAGGTGGTAAGGGTATAATCCTAATTCAGACTAATAAGCACTTATTACTGTCCCTGGCACTATATGTGCATTAGCCTTAGTTAACCAAATAAGATAGACAGCATTTGCACCATTTTGCTCCAAAACAAAACATCTCAAGCAAGGAAACATGTTCAAGGTTATATATCCAAAGTGGAGACTGGGACTTGCACACAGGGARGTCTGGCTTTGAAGCAAGAATTTTTGATCTCTATGTTGCACTAAGCATAATAAAAGAAATGAGGAGCCCTGGGGATTTAGGGAGGAGAAGCCAYCACCTAGCAATGCATGCCCATCATGGCACTCCTACCTGCCAGATGCCCCCACATGGGCCACAAAGATCTGTGGAGCATGGGGTGTGTAATCTACATAACAATTACTGGGCCCAGGGTAATTCTGCAGAACATTGCTGAATGTGTCCCTATGTCCCTCATCATGGGAATCAGCTGCTACACGCTTTTTTAGCTGACATTCACTAGAGAAGCCAAACATTTAGACTCTATGTGAACACATAAGCATCCTCCCAATTTAAATCCAGGCAAATAATGCAAAATTTTAACATCGAGCTATAGGTTAYCCCTTACACGTACAATGAAGAGCAGAGAATGAGGAAAACCACACTGATACGGGATCTTGCTGCTCAAATTTCTGCTCCAACAAAATTAGTCAAAGTCATGGATTTTTGTGACACAAAAAATGCAAAAACAAACAACACTAAGCGTCTTTTATAAAGAGACCAAAGCAGGACTGAGGCTGTTGAGCTACCTGATGATACTCAAAGCATGCCTGGAGGAATGTGCTCTCACCTTCTTGGCGATGCACAGGGTACGTAAACCATCTCTTGCATACAAGTCTAGATGTTTTTGGGTCCGGGAGTGGATCTTCTTCAGCTTCTTTTCCACATCAAGGTCAGCCACTGTCAAATAGTCATTATTTCCCATAAGACCATGCACAAAAATGCTTAAGAATCCCATCCCCTGGGATCTCCTCAGCAGAGACATTCCAGCAGTAGCACTCCCTAGGAACATTGTAGAACTCTCCTGGCTGTCAGGTTRTCCTGGAAGATAACTCCAAGAGTCCTTAAATTGTCTGTTCTTTACATCTCATCGAAAGCCTAGATAGAAAAAGTGTTATTTAAGGAAAGTAGGTCCTTACGGTATTCTCAAACATCCATTGGCATGAAAATCACCTGGAACTTAAGGGAGATTTCTAGGTCCTGTGGAAGCCGTGAATTGGGACCAGAAGTCTAAATCCTTGTTTACACCTAAGGTGGTCCTGACTTTGAGATTGTTCTCTATCCACAGTCTTGTCATCTGCTTTGTTCCTGTGTTGTGTTAGGTCTCAAAACAACTAGAACCGGGCATCTCATTAGTTAAATCCATTACCACACGAGTTCTTATTCAATGAGGCTTGATTTCTATATAGGAGATGATCTTACAAAAAACATTTTTTTTTTTGCATTTCCTGTAAATATAGTCTGAAAAAATATTTTGGTGGGTTGTTCAAAGTCTCCTCTGTGAAGTTCTACATAATAAATTTCTTTCAGAAGTCATTTGTCTCTCTCTTGAAATTCTAATACTTTAATCATAAAATGCAAAGCTTTCAAGCCTGGGTTGGCTGGTGTGGGGTAGGATCCCAGTCCTCACCACTTCCTTGGTCTAATTATCACAGACATCACTAATCAATCAATTGGCGCACTCTGTGAAGCTAAGCTTGGAAAAGACTTCAGAATCTGCCTTTAGCAGGGCTGAATTGAGAGCTCTAGAGGTCCTAAGTAGTGAACAGAATACGTGCATCTCATTAACCCTACAGACAATGCAAAATTAAAAATACAATTCTTAATAGTGGCACAAGCATAAAGCCCAACAAAGCTCTGGTTTTCTCATAATATCACTTTGAGGCTGTTTTTTGATGCTATAAAAATCCTTCCAACTATTATTTTCTCATTGCCCAGGTGCCTGAAGCACATCTCATTTGGGCATTGCCTTACAATATTTTATTTTGAAAGACACCAGTGCTTGAGATTAAACCCTTGTCTTCCATTCATGAGACTTTGAGTTTACCTTTTTGCTGAGGCTGCCAGGAACCTCATAGTCAAACTGAATGTTCAAACACTGGAAGTATATTAAAAAAGGGGTTAGAAATCTATTAATATTTTCCCCCTTTCCAAGTTTTCTTCTCATTTCTTACAGTAACATTGTTGTTCATGGGAAGCATCTCTAGTTCACTTTGCAAGCAGGTGAGGAACAAATAAACATCTCCAAGGTAACTTGGATGGCTGTCACCCAGAGATAGAGGACTGTGCCTTCTTCAATTCAGAAGCACTGAATTTGCTTGTCTGCCAGAGTCTGGAGATGAAGAGAACTAATTAGCTCCCTTCCCATTCTAAACACTAATCAATCCCCACGAACCTCTTGGCTGTGGTCCACAGCTGATAATGCAGGAGGCGCAGGGCTGCCTGGGCAATTCTAAAACTTGGCTGGAATCTACTATCCTGGGAGAATCATGGCCCATAACTGCCTTCTCCTTGTTAGCAATCAGGAAGCGGCTGCACACTAATTCATGCTGCTCCAAAATTGGACACTGATATGTAGGGACTTTGGAACATTTTTCTGGCTCAGCGCAAGTTTATGAAAATCCATCTGGGAGAGGCTGGGGAAAAGGATGATAAGGAGGGACCCTTGAGGCTTCYCATAGTGAACTGAGCCCAGTGCAGGGTTCTGGCAGATGAAAGGAGCCTACACTGGGATCCAGGACCCTGGATTTAACATTAGCTAACCCTATCATCTCTCCAAGTCACTTCTCTCCCTGGGTTGAGTTGGCGGCTCTCCAAAGGGAAGGGTGAGGAGCCCATTGTGGTCTAGGTTTGTTAATGGATATTCTGATGTAACAAAAATAAAAAATTGCCTGTGGATAATCCATGTGTGAATGAGTTTGGAAAACTAGACAAGTTAAAGAGCCTTCTCTATTACGAGACTGTAGAGAGTCTTTAATACACCAATGAGCAATGATTCTCCAGGTCACAGTGATGTAAAATACAGTGTGTCAAGGACCTTGCTTTGAGAACATCTTGTGGGCCTGTATTCTAGTTGAGGCCTGCTGGACAAGGTGACACTACAACTTGAGCTCACTGCCATCGGACACTGCCCATCAAACCTCAGAGCTCTCTGTCCCTGGAGCCCTAGGAGGTGAGACTCACCGTGGGCTGGGTCTTCCAGCAGGTCCATGATAACTGAGTCTGCTCCCTTGGTGTAGACGATGATCTCACCGGTCAGCGGGTGCCTCACAACCACAGACATTCTCTTCCTGACAGAGTCAAAGCCCAGGGTGAAGAGGAGGTCAAAGGTGAGGCAGGTGCCCTGGGGCAGACGCACGGTCACCTGCTCAGGTGTCCGGGACACCAGCGTGAAGCTATAGGCATGAGCAGCATGCACCAGGGCGGCCTCGTCGGGACTCTCGGCCTCGTAACAGAACTCGGGGCTGGTCAGGCTGAGAGCTGGGGCCCCTGGTACCTCCTCCAAGGATGCCCCCGACTCGGACCCCAGGATGTCACCGTGGTCCCACGTGCTGCTCCTGTAGCCGCCGTCCGTGGAGCAGTCTCCACTGCACACAGAGGCATTGTCTTTCTCGTCCGAGTCTGTGGGGGGCATGTTAGCCCCGAAACTCTCCCCCAGGTCTGTGTCAGAGGGCGCCGTGGATGAGAATGACTGGCTGAGGCTCATTAGCTTYAACCTCTGGAAGAGCTGTTGGATCTTCTCCAGGGACATCCCCAGAGCCTTGCTGGAGGGTGGGATGGTGACCTGTGGTCAGGAGGAAAGTCGAGCATTACATTTTGGAAACACTATCAAGCTATTTCATGCGGAGCAGGAAGACAATTTTGCATTAAGAGGACGATCTGGGCCTGCTGAGATCAAGGGCAAGTTTCCTCTCCTCTCTGGGCCTCGTCTTACCCACCCACAAAATGGGGGGAACTCAAATATTTCCTTCCAGGCCTGACAGTCTATGGGGTGAGAGTGCCCATTTCCCTTTGTCATTCCTCTCTGATCATGGACATAAGAAAGAGACGAGGAGATGAAATTCAGGCACTATCAATATTTTGGTTTATGGATGAGGAAGCCCAGGCACCAAGGGGTTAGATAAATTGGCCGAGATCAACCAGCGTGTTGCTGGCAGAGCTGGGACTCGTGGCCTAGGACTGCCTAACTCCAGAGATTGGGCTCTTGAGGTCTCTGCCAGCTCGAGTCCCCGCTATGAACTTGAAAACTGAGAGTTGGATGCTGTCTCTTCCAAAATGGTAGGCACTTCCTCCCTTCTCAAAATGATTTCTCAGATAATGCTTTTTGACTCCCAAATCTCCCTGAAAACTTCTGATCACATGGTGATTTTTCTGGGGGCCAAAGCGACTTCTCAGGGTAGTTGGGAATCTGGGCATCTTAAAGGAAGGTTGTGGTTTGGTGATTGAGTGAATTCCCTCCTCTTTATTTTGTAACTGCACGTTATATCACCTAGTTATTCTCATCAGCAATTCCCCAGCAGGGAGTGTGGTGAAGAGTTTGTGGATAATTGGAGACGAATCCACTTCGGTAAATTTCAAAGTAAAACTTTACATAAGTGACCACTGTCTGCATATTTCCATGATAAGAATACTTAGTATCTTTTAATCCCTACTTAAAAGCAGGGACCAGCGTAACATGGTATTAGTGATCATTATGGTTCTGCTATATATTAACTCAACTCCCTTTGTTAAGTTACTGACATTCTTAGACTGACCATTACTTCACTTGTTAAGCCCATAGTGCTTTGGGGTTGTGATGGCTAAATGATAATGCAGGCCAAGTGTTTAGTATGGGGCTGGCACAGAGCCAAGCGTTCAGTAACCACTAACTCTTAATATCTATCTTGCAGGCAGATAAAAAAAGAAATTGAAAGTTGCAGAGAGAAAGCGTGCTCCTATATAACTTTTCCATTTTATTTCAAATGAGGACCCAGAAAAGATAAGAGATTGGTTCAAAGTCTCACAGTGAYGAAATGGTAACACTTGGCTAGGACCCAAGTGTCTCTCTGATCAGGGTTTCTCCCCTTGCTTCTCTCCCACCCTCTTCTCCCTTATCTCCTACCTTCCTCCCCACCTCCTTACCCTCTGTCTGGGTTCTGTGGTTGTGGAAACCATGACAGAGTTGCAGATGGTTAGGGCAAGGAAGAAGTCGGCGATGGAGGACGTGGTGGAGTGAGAYGACTTGGGTGGTCGGGCATCCGATAAGGTCTCCAGCCACAGGGCAGCATCTTGGACCTTGGTCAGTAGGTTTTTATCTGGAGTCACATCTTTTTCCTGGAAGAGACAGCCTTGAGTGAGTCTTTGGGAAGGAAGGTCCCCATCATCAGGTTTTTGGCATGCCTGGAGGAAAGGGCGATACAGACTTCACAGCAGTCTTGCATCTGGTCTGATCATTGCTGATTTTTATTGGATTACTCCCTGTCTATCAACTCCCCATATCTTCCAGCTACCAGGTCCTGGAAGTCCTTCCCCCTTCTTCCCCCTATGTCTCTCCATTTGTTCACCATTTCTGATGCTTCTCACCATGACCAGACCCTCCGGCCCTCCATCTTGGATTTTCATACCATCCTCTAAACCCAGGTTGTCGCCTCTCATTTCTTTTCTTTTTGACCCTTCACGTGTATGATTWTTTTTCAGTCCCTGAAACTCCATTTTCCTCATGGCACTCGAAAAACCTCAGACCTCCACTGTTAGCACGATCGATTCATATGGCATCTAGAGTGTTTTGCAGTTTGGATTTCCACTTTTTACTCCCACTTCTTCTCAATGTGGACCCTCAGCTCAGCCTGGTGGTCTGTTTGCTGCATTCGAGATGTGTTCCCTCTTCCTTCTGTGCTTCTGATAACACTTTGAAAAATCCTCTCCTATCCAGCAAAGTCCTACCTAGATTTCAAAYAACCAGAAGTCACACCTGTCCATGAGATTTTATCCAGCTTCCAATGAATTCTCTTCCTTTTGAACTGCAATAATGAGTTCTTGAAATGTTCACATGTAACATGCATGGATGGACCAAGATACAGATGAGGGTATTTCAGGATGGTGAGAAATACAGAACTGGCAAGTGAGACCCTATCTGAAGAGTGGTGGGCTTCTTTTCCTGGTGCAATGCTCCCATRCTGATCCACTTTGCCAAATAGCCTGACTTTTCAGGATAAAGCAGAGATAAGTGACCTCTTTTTTTTTTTTTTTTTCTTTTTAGTCTCTGGGCTGGATCTGACTCATGGGTTTCCATTTTTAACATCTTTATAGAAGTTGCCACTTAATACCATCCCTTTGGTATTCATTACATATTGACCTATATCTGGTTTTATTGACAGTTCATCCATCTCCCTCTATCTCCACCCTCCCTTCCCCTCAGGAATTGATGCCAGGACAGCTTCACTGGGTGGTGATTGGGGGGCGGGGGAGGAATGTCTAGCTTTGCTTACTTCCCTGCCGCCATCTTGACCTGACCCATTTTAAATTCACTTTTTTTCTGACTCTCTCTAGAAGTTAGGCAAGGGCCTCAAAGAAGAGATTGAGTTTTCTATGTGGTTGTATGTTCTAGAACTGTTAACTACAGGTTTCTTTGAAGCAGAAGCTCAACCACCAACCAGTTCTGAGTAGTCTGATACAACAAACTCACTCTACAAAGACATTTACACATAAAGCCATTTCTCTCTGTGTTCAGAGTTTATAGCTAAATTATAGTTTAGAAGGATCAGTGGTTAAAAAGAACAGATGGACAGAATCTTGACTGATGAGTGCAGGAGGAAGACTGAGGTTCAATGAGCTTTACAAATAAAAACCTTAAAAGAGCGCACTACAGGGATACTGCAACATCGATGTTCATAGCAGCACAAKTCACAATAGCTAGACTGTGGAACCAACYCAGAAGCCCTTCAATAGATGAATGGATAAAAAAAAATGTGGCAATTATACACCATGGAGTATTACGCAGCACTAAAAAATGATAAAATCGTGGAATTTGCAGGGAAATGGATGGCACTAGAGCAGATTATGCTAAGTGAAGCTAGCCAATCCCTAAAAAACAAATGCCAAATGTCTTCTTTGATATAATGAGAGCAACTAAGAATAGAACAGGGAGGAAGAATACTAGTAAAACTATATCAAATCTAT